TTTACACTTGTCATTCCAATCAAAATCGTCAATGTCTCTAGTATCACCTTGTTGCCTCAATAAAGTGTTTATGATTTCAGGCCATCTCATATCAGCTGCTGAAAATGAGCAAAACCATGTCGGTATTCCTAGTTGTCTAATCATAGCCATAACATCTTTCTGAGCTGCTTGCCAGTATGGGGGTGTACCTCTGATTGGTTTCAAGAACTTATAGCCACTATCAGATTGCAATATATCTCTCAGTTGATCCCTATCTTTAATCATACTTGCATTTACACTTTCAGCACGATGTAATTTGCCTGAACTCTGACGCATTGCAATTGACACACTTGACATGACTTGCTGTATTTCTGACAAGAATTGAGCTTAGAAAACATACTGAATGTTTTTGGCAAATCTGTTGTCTGCATTCATTAACCGGTTATGAAAATATCTGCAGAGACTTAACCTCACATCACGATTATCACTGAAAATAGGAGTGCCTGATGGAAACAATGCTGGGAAACACTTTGCTTCATTACCTTCTTCCATCAACACCCTAACTGGACTATTTCCTTCACAAGGGGCTACACATAATATGTCATCAAAATACTGATCAAGGACCTCTGAGGCAATATTCACTGGCTGCAAAGATGTATCATAAGCTATGCCTGTCAAACGCTCATCATCTGTTTCTTCATCTGTTTCTTCACCACTATCACTCGAATCATTAGATTCATGTCCTTCATTTTCATTTTCAGTGTCCAAGGGATTTTCCCACTCACAGTTTATCTGAATGTTATTATACCATACATTTTTCTCTTTGAGATAACAAAGCGCACGTTCAACCTGTTCCCTATTCACGTACTGATATTGATAATATCCTTTAAATGATAACTTTCTCTTCAACTTAATTTTAATTAAATTATTACTATTTGGACATCTAGGCAATAATGTTACTGTTTGTGAAATATTTGAAGGCACACAAACAACTGGACCATGTACAGCATTCTGACCACCCCTGGGTAATGATATGAGTTTTAGAAATGCTATATTAATTGCAATTAAATGTTCCTCCAATGTATTCAAACAGCCCAATTCCTCTGGGACATCTTCTAATGCCAAATTGTTTGCACAAGCTTCACCTGGTATTTTGTTTTGAAGCAATTTCCTATGACATGTGTAACATATCCACAAACATGATCTACTTGATTGGGATACTCGACATTATTTACTACACTCTCCATCTGATCCACACCTATGCAAATACTTCTCAGATATGCAAGCAACACTTATGTATTTGTTTGGATTACACCTAACAACTTGCTTTCGAAAAAGCAGTTTATGACAAACTGCACATACATACTCAGGTCCAGCAGATATTCCTTGACTCCAATTTTGCATAACATTTTTCATAACGCCTTGACTTACTCTCTTTCTTTTTAATCATTCTTTATTCAGTTGTTTCATATTGTCCCGATAACGTTGATCACTCTTGTATTTCCTTTTTCCTTTTTCAATTAAATTTCTCCGATAATGTATATTAATAGCATACTTATTTTTTATAGATTTGATGAGAGCATTTTTGTACGTAAAATTACAATGATACTTTCTCTTTGCATAATTGATCTTTTTTTGCCCGTGTGCTGCATGCCCATAATACTTTGTTTTTGCATAAATCTTGGCATAATTCATCACTTTTTGCCTATGTTCTAAATTGTTATGATACTTAGCTTTGCCACTGCAAATTACTTTTTCTCTATATTCAACATTGTCATGGTATCTCTGTTTTACACTTCTTATTTTATTTGCTTTATAGTCAATATTTCTCTCATATTTATGCCTTATGGATTCTCTCCTCCCTGCACCAGTTTGTTTATATTTCTTTTTATCATAGTCAATAGCAACTTGTCTGAACTTTTCACAACTATGATACTTTTCTTTTTTGACAGATTTCTTCATCTCCCTGTACATAATACTTTGTATTTTGTTTTATCCCTTTTTCTACGCTTAGTTACCTTGACATTAACAGTCTCGTTTATGTTACTTACATCTTCTTTCTTTTTCTGATATATTTTTCTAGCCCTCTCTTTGTTTAGTTTTTGCTTCAATCTTACATTTACACGTTTACGTCTCCGACACTTTGAATGTTTCAACACTTTGCTCTTTGATTTTGTATGTTGATTCTGCTTCTCACTCCTATCTGACACCGATGTTATTACATCACTTGCACTTGTGACTAAATCATAATGTACCTGATTTCTGTGGCACAAATAAATACCTGCTTTCACAGAATTATCAACACCACTTTGTGTGAATGAACTGGAAAATAAATACCACTTATTAGCATCATCATATGTGTAAATATTACAATCCAACAAGTGTGCTGTTGCAATGATTTCCACCTCAGTAGCCCAGGTACCACTATCAAACAATCTTGCATTTCTCACATAATCTTGCCCTGTCCTGTAACCTTCACGTAAATAGCCCTTAAACTGAGCTGCATTATTCAACAAATGATTAACTATTGCCAATCTGAATTTCATGTGATTATCTTCACTTCCTGACACCGCATAACTTATGGCCCTGTAGTAACAGTTACCGTCACCTTTAATTTTCTTTATGGATTCAGGTCTTCCCAGTGTGTCACATTGCTTGGGTATCTCAACAGCATGCAGACACATTTTTTTCACACCTAGTTTCTCGCACAATGCAACTTTAATATCATAAGTCAAGGGAACAAATTTAAAATTGACTTTCTTAGTTTCTACAATTTTTATGTCACAGCATTCCATTGTCTGTGCATTACTACTAGTGCATGCAACATTGCTACTATTATCAGTCTCATCCTGCTTGTTACAGATACTGAGATCATCATCTATCCAAACAGTAACTCCTGTAATTTCAAACTGTTCACTATCACTGACATTCATAGACTTTCTGAGTTCGGAACAGTACCTGTAAACACCTTCCCATGATGATACACATTTCAGCAAACTTTTTCCTTCAGCATCTTGGTTGCCACTGTGATTTCTAGAATGTGAATCAAAAATATAATACATTCCATTTTGAGCAATTACTGAAAATGTGTTTCCATGGAAACAGATAAAACATGCAAAATATTTCTGAACTGTCTGCTCTACTGCCCTACTCAATGCAATCATATTGAACTCAATCAAATGTGCTGCTTCTCCAAAAGTACCAGAAACAGATTCAGCAATCTCCATGTGGAAATGTTTACCAAATGCATCAATTTCATCAGGTAACTCACTGATTAACAAATCTGCATTCATCATTGTAGAGCTCCGAGATAAGCATGTGTACAATTCATTCCCAGTATTCAACACAAGATCCATGTCCTTGCAACACCACATGTTTAACAGCTTAATTTGGCTATAGAGGATTGCACACAAGCTCATAGCAACACACTGTTGACCAGCCATCTCAGCAAATCTGTGATTACCTTGATGGAAACTCCCTTGAACAAATCGCATATCCTTACTCTGTTCCACCTTTTGAGTATCTATGCAACAAGAAGTACTTTTACAACCAAGAGATCTTTCAGTTTTCTGTTTTTTTACTCATTTGTCGGACTCTCATCTGTCTTTTACCTTCAACAGAATTTTCTCTGTCTTCAGCTTTTCTTTTGGTCTTCATTTCCTCATCACTATACTTTTCATTTTGCATCAACACATGCTCTTTTCTGCTTCGACATCTTTGTGTGCTACCATGTTTTGTTTCGAAAGCCACTTCACTTGTGCTTACACAATTATGCTGTTCACCCTGGTCAACCGGCTTACTTCTTTTCTGTGCTTTAACCTGATATGCCTTTGTTTTCTCTTTTCCACTACGGGAAGTACTTTGAGCATTACTACTTTTCTTGCTCCTCAAAGAATATCCTCCACTCTGCTTCACTATGCCCCGATTTGGATCCGTATTCAAACATGCATCTTTATTTCTGATATGTTTCCAAGCTCCCTTCTGAACCTCACCTTCATTTCCATTTATTCTGGACTCCTGAACACTATTTTCTGTGCAAGAAAAATCTCCAACAATTGACGTGACTGCCAACCCCTCGATGTTCACTTCACATAACGCCATCTCAAATGTATTGTCATGTGTAGGAATGCCAAGATCATGCAACAATGACCGACTGTAAGTACATCTTCCACATCTGCAACACAACCATGATACTCCTTTACTTGCTAAGACAAACTTATATGGAAATACCATACAACTGACATGAAACAAAATATGACAATTATCACATTCTACAACTGTTCCAATAGTACCATCAGCTACTTCATCACATGCCTGTAGTGATAGCATGACAAGGTTTGTTCAGGTTCCCAGGCACTTGGACGTAGTGCGTTTATTCCGCCATGATGCAACAAGAGTGTAGCCACATTACACACACTGTGTTCATGCGCTGTGCGCACAATATGAATATGTAGTTCCATATTAATATTACAACATCCTCCCCCCTTTGAAAGTACAATGTTGGATTCTAACATTTACTAGACGACTTTCCGCACAGGTTAAAAGTTAATGTGTTAATGTGGTAAGTTACTGAATAAAAATGATGGGTAAATAACAAATAATTGTGTTGCGTCTCTAATTTCTAATGTCTTCACATGTTTCTGGTGGGCTGGAACTTGAACTTCTAAAAACGGCTCTAAACATCAAAAACTCTTAACATGTACATTTTGTACAACTGTTAAAACTCTTCAACTGTAACTCCAAGTAACAGGTCTATGATTTAACGTTATATCGAAGGGTTACATGCTAGTCAAACTTTCATCCTCATCAAATTCTTGAGGTTAACTACCCTCAGTCGTTTAAGTAATCAAAAGTTTAGATAAAACAACTTGAAAAACGTTTAAACAATGAACACTCTGCAAGTATGATATTGTCATGGGCTTGGGGTATATTGGGTAAGATGGCCTTATTGCTGGATGTATCGCACTGGTCTGCGAATTACTCGGCCTGACCTTGTGGTCTGTGGAGTATCTCCAGTTGCCCTAGCTCTCTGCTGAAAGTTTGTGCTGCTTACTGAGGTCTTTGGTTTTCTCAGTGTCTGCAAATCTGACACGCTTGGGAGTGATAGAGCGTCGTGTATCTGTCATCTCTCTGAGGTGGGATCGAGTACGTCTCAATATGCTACCGTTTGGGGTGGCGACTTTATACGACCTCGGCTCTCTACACACGGTTGTCACCTCGCCTGGCAGCCAAGCCCGAGAATCCTGATCAAGAATCCGGACCTTCTGCCCAACATGGAGAGGTGGGAGCTCATTGGCTGAGTATCTCCTGTCGTAATCTGCTTTCATTCGGTCACGCCTCTTGTCATGGGCATCCTTCATTTCCTGGTGTCGTGCTTCAGTGTATGGGCGGCGGCTTGGCAAGCTTGTGCAAGGTGGCCTGCCAAACAGAATCTCGGCAGGAGACGGCAGTTTGGAGTCAATGGGAGTAGCTCGCAGGTTCAGAAGTGCTTTATCAACATTCTGCTTCGACTTTTGGCATCTCTTTATGAGTGTCTTGACCGTCCGCACTGCACGTTCCACGAAACCGTTGGATTGTGGGTATCGGGGTGAAGATGTGATGTGACTTATGCCCCACGAAGCACACATGTCCTGGTGGGGCGCTCCAACGAACTGTGGGCCATTGTCCGATATTATTTCTGCTGGCGCTCCGAGCATGGCAAGTGTGCGGGATGTCACACCAGCTACCGTTGCGCTCTTGGTATCTCGCAGCCTGTGGACGACTGGGAACTTCGAGGTATAGTCGATGATCAGAAGAAAGTCATCTCCACCTATTTCAAATAGGTCAGTGCCTATCTTGGTCTATGGGGTGGATGGTGGATGGGTGGAGGGGTTCCTTCTTCTGCTTTGGTTGGTTTTCTTGGCAGTATTCACATGCCCTTACAGCAATGTCGATGTCATGGTTGATGTTTGGCCAGTACACGGTTTCTCGAGCCAAACGTCGTGTTTTCTCGATTCCCATGTGCCCGTGTGGAGCTGGGCCAGGATGTCTTGTCGTAGATCATCAGGGATTACTACCTGTTTCCCTTTGAAGATGACACCCCAGGATATTCCCAGTTCATCTCTGTAGGGCCAGTATGGCCTTAGATCTGGGTAGCTCCTTGATTTCGTCAGGCCAGCAGGCGTAGATAACTTGGGTTAGGGAACTCAGGGTTGGGTCACGCGCGGTCTGCACCTGCAGTTGGGTCTGCTTAGTCTGGCCAAAGTGAAGGAGATCGATGTGCTTGAGCTCTGATCCTTCAATGACATCTATGCCACCGACCAGTCGGTCAAGGTGTATGTCTTCGTTCTTCTTCGGGTTTGGCAGTCTGCTCAAGGCGTCGGACAAGATCATTGTCGGTCCTGGCTTGTAGTGCACGGTGAAGTTATAGCCTTGCACTTCGATAAGTAGGCGTTGTAACCTTGGTGGTGCACTAGATAGGGGCTTCCTCCAGATCATTTCTAGCGGCTTGTGATCTGAGTATACCACAAACTCCTTCCCGAAGAGGTAGTTGTGGAAACGGGCTATGCCAAACACCAGTGCCAGCGTTTCCCTCTCTATATTGGAGTAATTTTTCTGCGCCGGTGAGAGACTTTTGGATGCAAAGGCAATAGGCTTGCCATGTTGAGTGAGGCACACTCCCAGCCCTTTCTGTGAAGCGTCAACCTCAAGTACCGTTGGCATCTCAGGGTTGTAGTAATGAAGGCATGCTTCCGCTGTGATCGACAGCTTCAGTGCCTCAAACGCTGCTTGGTGGTCCTCCTGCCACACAAAAGGGATGTTTTTCTTGAGAAGATCTCGGAGGATCGCTGCCTTGTCTGCGAGGTTGGGAATGAACGCAGACACATATGTGATGAGACCAAGGAATTTTTGGAGGTCTTCCTTGTCCTGGGGGGTGGGGAGGTTGTGTATGTCCTCAACCCGCCCTGGGTCTGGCTGTACCCCGACGTCAGAGTATATGGACCCGAAGAAACTGATCTTCTTTGTCTTAATCCTGCATTTGGTGCTGTTGAATACAAGACCCTCACGTCTGGCAACCTCGAACAGGTTCCTAAGGTTGGCGTCGTGTTCCTCGTCAGTACGGCCGTAAACGACTATGTCGTCAGCTATACAGACACATCCGGGAACTTGGTCAACTATCTCGTCCATGCACTGCTGGAATATATCCTGGCTAATGGCGAGGCCAAATGGTAGACGCTGGAAGCAATACCGTCCGAACGGCGTCCGGAAGGTGGTGAGCTCCTGGGACTTCTCGTCAAGGTGAACGGCCCAGTAACCGGCCTTTGCATCAAGTTTAGAGAAGACTCTGGCTTGGGAAAACTCTGGGTTGAGTTCCTCTAGCGTAGGGATTTTGTGGGGGCACCTGCGCAGGCTTTGGTTGAGACGCTTGGGGTCAAGGCACACACGAATGGAACCATCTTGCTTGAGGCTCGTGGTGATGGAACTGCACCAGTCTGTGTGATGCGCCACTCTCCTGATTACCCCCAGCGCCTCCATCTTGTCAATTTCCACTTTCAACTTTGGTTTGAGGTGCACACTGTATTTTCTGGGTGGGTCAATATGGGGTACCGCATCTTCTTTGAGGTACAATGTTGCCCTTCGTTTGAAACTTCCAATGGTGTGAAACTGATCTGGATACGCCTCCATCAGCTGCTCAATTGATTGTACTGACGTCAGTCTGGCAGCATGTATCGTCACGACTCCCATGTCACGGCACATGGGCAGACCTGCAATCACTGGGCCTGTGACGTAGACGACGTAGAATCTGTTCTCTGACAATGTAGGATCTTGGTATCTGCAGAGCAAATCGATGCTGCCCAGACAGGGTATCGGTGTTCCATTATATGCGGTTAACTTGGTTGTCACCGGTTTGACTTGGGATCTCCAAGTGTCTCCATACATCTGTCGTATGGTTCTGAGTGAAGGGTGTTACCCCCAGCTCCGGTGTCTATCTTGACTTTAAGGCGGTGCTTGCCTTCAAGGTCGGGGCAGACCACATCAAGCATCCTGTAGGCTTCGTTACCCGTGTTATCGCTCTTCTTGTGGAAGTCTGGGACAGTGACAACGTGGAACACTTCCTCGTACGCATTGTCCGTGTATTCTAACTGATGGACATCTGTCTCCTGCTCAGTAGTGTTTGGTGTCGATGATTCATCCTTTTTCCGGCCCTTGGGCTTTCGTTGTTTGGGCTTTCTATCCCTGGAGGGACTGCGTCGCCTCTCCCCGGAGGGACTGCGTCTTCTCCGTGGTGACTTGGATCCTCTGCGTTGTCTGCTTTTAGCTCTCGTCTTTCTGCAACACTTGGACCAGTGCCCTTTCGCTCCACAGGCCTTGCAGGTATCATGGTATGCGGGGCACCGTCTGGGTGGGTGTGATAACCCACAGTTTCGACAAGCTCGACTCTTGGACCATATGGCGTTCACTGACGCCCCACCGGTCTCCATGGACTGTAAACTTTGCTTGCCGGCAACGATGGCTTCATACTTCCGCCCTTCGATGAGCATCTCGTCAATGCTGTAGACAATGGGTCTGTCAAGCAGATCCTTTTGGAAGGACTCGGAGGGTGTAGAGGCTATCACGAGTTCAACTATTAGAATCTGGAATCAGTGGCTCAGTGAGGTGAAAGACCTGGATCAGCTTAGGATCAGGAGATGCTACAAGCCTTCAGGGTTTGGGCAGGTTGTAAGCTGTCAGCTTCACATCTTTGCAGATGCTAGTGACGTAGGGTATGGTGTGGCTGCCTATCTCCGGCTTTGTGATGAATCTGGGCGCATCAGCTGTTCGCTTGTTACAGGCAAAGCAAGGGTTGCACCTTTAAAGAAGATGACTATCCCGCGTATGGAGTTGACAGCAGCAACCATCGCAGTTAGACTTGGCAAAGTGCTTACTCAAGAGCTGGACTGCGACATACACGGCACCTACTACTGGACAGACAGTATGACGGTATTGCGGTACCTCGCAAACGAGAGTTGTCGCTTCCAGACCTTTGTTGCAAATCGCATTGCAATAATCAGAGATGCCTCTTGCTTGCAGCAGTGGAAGTACGTGAATACCAAATTCAACCCTGCTGATTGCGCAACACGTGGTCAGTCAGTGAAAAGGTTTCTTCAGTGCTCCATGTGGTTTGAGGGTCCAGGCTTCCTGTCTCAGCCAGAAACAGAATGGCCTCAGCAAGATGCCGATCTTACCAAGCTACCAGATAATGATGCTGAGGTGAAGAAGACTGTGCTGATGACAGCAGAGACACCTATCAGTCCGGTTGACAGACTTCTGGAGCACTATTCAGATTGGACCAGGCTGAAACGGGCAGTTGCTTGGATATTGGTTGTGATGAAGCGCCTCCAAGATAGAGTAGCTGCAAGCGAGAGGTTGAAACAGGAGCCAGCACAGCAAGAGTTAGAACAGCAAGAACCCAATGCGTTGCACCGTTCACAGAAGCTCGAATCAGAGCAGAGCAGAGTTAAGCAAACTCTTTCATCAGGTGACAGAGAAAGTCTTAACCATACTCGACTTACCACAGAGAACCTTGAGGCTGCTGAGAGGGTTTTAGTGTACCATGTCCAGCAGAAACATTGGAAGGACGAAATCAAATTGCTCAACGAGACGGAGGGAAAACCATCCTCGGTAGTCAAGAAGTCTTCTTCATTGAGAAAGCTTGATCCTAAGCTGGTAGATGGACTTCTACGTGTTGGTGGTCGGATTGGTAGAGCAGATCTCGACTTTGAGTCCAGGCACCAGGTACTGATGCCAAGAGACTCGCCTGTCTCCAGGCTTATTCTTCAGCATATACACAAGTCAGTTGGACACTTGGGCAAAAATTCCATCCTAGCAGAGCTTCGACGACATTACTGGATAATTGGAGCACCTTCTATCATCAAGGGTATCGTCTCGAGGTGTGTCACTTGCAGGAGATACCAGGCCCCGGCTGAGCAGCAGAAAATGGCCAGTCTGCCACGAGAGCGACTTGCGTTGAATGAACCTCCATTCAGCAAGGTTGGAATGGATTATTTTGGTCCCTTTGAGGTGAAACGTGGTAGAAGTATGGTGAAGAGGTACGGGGTCATATTTACTTGTTTGACTTCGCGAGCTGTCCACTTGGAGTTAGCGCATTCACTTGACACGGATTCATGTATCAATGCAATCCGCAGATTCAGTGCCCGTCGTGGATCATTAAAGAGCATTCTCTCTGACAATGGAACCAATTTGGTTGGCGCAGAACGTGAGATGCGTGAGCAGATGAGAACCTGGAACCAACAGAAAATCCATGACAACTTGCTACAGAAGGGCATATCCTGGCAATTTAATCCTCCAGCAGGATCACATTTTGGAGGAATATGGGAGCGTTTGATTAGAAGCGTCAGGAAGATCCTCTACTCTCTGATGCGAGAACAGCATGTTCATCTGAGTGATGAAGCTCTCCAAACTTTGTTGTGTGAGGTAGAAGCTGTCATGAATGGACGACCACTTACCGAATGCCCTAACAGTCCCAACGACCTAGATGTCCTGACTCCGAATCATCTGCTTCTTCAACGGTCGGGCGAGAGTCTGCCTCCTGGGTTGTTTGACAAGCATGATAAATATCCTGTTAAGCAGTGGCGACAAGTTCAGTATTTCGCAGACCTCTTTTGGAACAGATGGTCGAAGGAGTACCTGCCTATGCTTCAAGAAAGGCAAAAATGGACCCACCCCAAGCGGAATGTGACTGTGGGAGACATTGTGTTGGTGGTTGACTCTTCGCCAAGAAACTCATGGGCGCTTGGCAGAGTACTTGAAGTTGTCAAGGACAAGAACGGATTTGTTAGAAGTGTCAAGTTGAAGACAAAAACTTCTACTTTAGTTCGCCCTGTAACAAAGCTTTGTCTTCTAGTTGAAGGCAGTGTTGAGTAGTTGTCAGTATTTACAGACATATTGTTATGCGTTGTATCCACCAAGATTTCAAGTGTTAGTTTAAAGATAATAGTAAAGTTTGACCTTGTTTATTGGTATTATGTAATTGCTTATTGATTAATAACCAATTAGAGGGCCGGTATGTAGCGGCCAAACTCAGATAGATTTCTTATTTTTGTTTTGCCAAGTGAGGGCGCTGTTGCGGGAATACGGGAGCTAAGCAAAAAGCAACATGGCTTCAGCTCAATCATGTCAATGACGACAGAATTTGCAACCTGTGGAATTCTTCGCCCAAAGCATTAACTGGCCAAGGTTTATTAAACGGTTGGTTACTCTTAAATAATTTATATCAATGAGTCAGTAATTAATGTGAGATTTAGTGATATCTTGTAAGCCTAAAAGTTGTACAAATGTACATGTATTTTCCACGCATGTTATTTTGGATCTTGTTATTAAGCACATGTACAAGTATCATACAGGGTGTACATAAACCCTTCTTGCATTTAGGTCATGGCCGATAAACTCATCTGCCCTTGTACATTGTAGGGGCCTACACACATGTGTACGTGTATTTAGCCTTTAGTTTGGACATTTGTGTGCAAGTATTTAGAGTACATGTACATGTAGGTGATATGTAATTCAGTCAGCTGATTCTGTTAATTAGGTTACACAAACTCGGGATTATTTCTTGTAACACATACATTTTATTTTCCATTTTATTTATTGTAGTCAATCTGTGCCTATACCTGAGCCTGACAGGTGTACGACTACCAAAACTGTCAGAAGTTGTACAAGACAATAAAATCTTCTGGATCTGCGCACAGCATATTTTCGTCAGTAATCTTTGGCAGATTCAAAGACTCAGTGTAATTTATTTGGTGTAACTTGCCGCGCTTAGTATACCTGTAACTTTATGCTTAATTGCATGGTTTGGTGGTTTACAACACTCATTGTCATCGTTATTTGATTAACAAATTATTGCATTGCGGGGCCTCAACATACAGTGTAATAGTAGTGTGATTTACAACACTCATTGTCATCGTTATTTGATTAACAAATTCTTGCATTGCGGGGCCTCAACATACAGTGTAATAGTAGACAATGCAAACACTGTAATATTGTATTGGTTAATACATGTAGGATACATGGGACTGTATCATCAAAAGCAATAAACGCTCGGCGAAGGTTAGCCGAAGCTGACCATATTTATCCATGTCCGTGTGCTCTCTCTCGTCCTCTCTAGGGCCAATACAGATTTTTCATCATTTCTCATGTTTACAGAAACTCTCCAATATCTGGCGTACACGTTAGAGAACACTCAACAAGTGGGGCCCAGTTTCCAGACGCCTCAATTTGCAAATTTAGCACTAACTTTAAAGACACTGAAATTCTTCACAAAGGCTCAAGACCATTACAGTAACAATATTTTCTTGAATACATTTAAAGTTTCTCAACAATAACAAACAGCAACACTGCATATGAGCAACAAAAGAAAATGTCCAAATGCAAAAAACCCGGAACCACTCCAAACTAACCTAGTCACAGCCTACTGCCCCACTAGACATGTGTGGCCTCTGTATTTCTACGCCGTATGTTAGGCCACACGCCTGGTTTCCCAACCTACTGAGGAGTTTAGTCCCAAACTGGCGCATATGGACTCCACAAAGATGTATGAAGTTCTCACACACAAAAAAGAAATATCACCTTATCTACCCGGGGGGCAAAAGATAAGAACTCATAGAAAACAACCATATCAGTGGTATGTATGTAACAAAAAATATATGCCATAAAAGGGTGCACCACTGTTTACAATAAACTCGTTAGTAGGTTTCCAAGACGTGTGGCCGAACGTACAGCGCAGCAAACACTAAAAAGCAATCCGTACAGACTACAATATAAAGCAAACAGAGGCCACACATAATAAACAAGCAGACAAGCATGACAAGTGGGTCTAGTCACAGCCGCCAACACTATTTACTACAACTTCCCCAAAGAAACTTAAGCATCCCTTAAAACTTTCGTTTTTACACCTTAACTATACTCAAATGCAAATCCTTCACAATCAATGTCAAACTCATCATACAAACACAAATATTCTTACAACTTTTTTACATATCAAATGCCACCACTTAACTTACGCTGATTTAGTGTTGAAGAACTACATGTACATTTGTACGTGTACATGTACCGCATGCTTTGCATGCTATACACTATATGCAGCGCAGCGTTCGCGTACGTGCACACGTCCGTCCCCCCAAGGTGACCGTAAGGTCATGGCAAAATTCTGCTAAATGCAATTCACAAATCTGTCACATTTATCAAAATTATGTCCAATTCCTCAGAATTACACGAAATACACTAAAGACACTGAAATCACATGTATATGCTGTAGTATTGCCATAATTAAGGTTCCAATTTCATTATCAACAATTAACAGTAAAATACACATGTTATAAAATTGCATAAATTTCAGGCAAAACGCAGCTACAAGCATCACAACAATGTACATGTACGATTCCCACTGAACCTCACTACCTAAACCACCCAACCTATCCATTATGCAAGGGTGCATGTAAAAACATTTCAGCTTCTTTAAACAAAACATACCATTTTTTGAAATTGCCTATGTTGTTTAATAACTATTTTTGCAGATTTCTGCCAGAAATCTGCCAAAAAAATCCTCCATTCTGTGAAAATTTCTGTCAAACTCATTTAAAAAAAAAATTGTTAAAAACAGCCGAAAATCTGCTAAAACGGTCACCCTGCATCCGGCTGCGACGCGCATGCGCCAACAAGCATGGCTCCGCGATCCGCTCCATACCACAAACGCAATTGAAAAGGCAGAAACCAAACTGTTATTGATGCTGCTGCAACTCTCTTCTACAGAGGGTGCACTGCAGTTAAACTTTCTATTTTTCACGACACACACGAGTATTCCAGGTGAACTGCCTCTACTGTAAGCATCGAACTTCCAAGGTAAAATTCTTTTACAAAACATTTTACAAAAAATCTCTCCACGGAAACAACACAACTCTGTTAAAACAGTTCTTAAAAATAACTAAGTGTATTTCTAATCTAAAAAAAACAACCCAACACAACACTCAACAGTTTCACTGCTAAACTTTCACATGTTCGCATCTGCTTTAAACATGTTAAATACTTCAATTAGGCCTAGGCCTAAAGGGGTTTACCACGTTCACTATCACCTACGCAAGGCCACATGCTTGGACACACGCCGCACCACCTTAAGTTTTAACCATGTTAACAGCAGTCTATCATAAATGACATGAATGAGTCACATCACGATAACCTAAATATCAAACATCTGACACTAACAACATGAACAACTAGGTCTAGTTTAGTTGTATTAGCTTTATCGAGGATTTCCATGAGGATATCATAAACGGAATTTAAAGCTTAGATCATGCTTACTGGGCCAACAATAAACGAGCTCAACTTTCAATTTCACTCATCATGCCATAGTACAGTAGGCCTAATACTAATAGTATACTAGTAGTAGGCCTTTAAACGTGATTTTCTTGTCTTGTGATTGTCATACAGTCTGTTCTTCTAAGGTTACACTTACAGTTCTTCTAACCCTCCTATAGAAACATGCATTGTCAGCCTGTTTATTACTTGATCAATATTGGTCAACAACCCCATTGGTTGGTACACAGTAGGCCAGGAGGTGAGGATGACAATTTTGACCATTGGCGACCTCTTAAGCAAAAAGAGCAAGAGGAGAATTAATGAGGCACTTTTCTTCACACCATATCTCAGCAAAATGATTAGCTAGGCTACAACACCATTTTTGTTAACTATCCCATACTGAACCACCACTCATTTCCCTTAATATGACTTTAAAAGTACCAACAGTTGGAAATCTTACCCCAAAAAAATTAAGAAGGGAATAGATTTTCTGCAGCAGGTCAGAGGTGGTGACTGTCTATGGATTTTTTTTTTGGTCATAAGTTGCATGATAGTATAGGCCTACTAAAGATGTGCATCCTGAAATAACAAAAACATATACAGCTCACCCTTACTTCCACAGTTGCATGAAGGCATAATATTTCAGCTACCATTTCAGTTTGATCAGTTACATGATTTTGCTATGTTATTACATAATTTTCTAAAAACAACTACATACGTGTATATGTGGATTGTATAATGAAATTTACACATTCAAATATTAATTCTTGCATACAATAACAAACATCTGCCCTGTTAACCCACAATTGTTTCCGTTTAGAATGACCTCAAATATTTTATATATTTCAATGTGCTACTACCCATTTATAATGCAATGACCTACATGATGTATCTCTTTTCTCATATCTAGATGTCATCACAAGGAAAATACACATTTCAAGTGTTGACCAACCCTTCCAAACGTGGTGATACATGGTGTGTTGACATCATCACCACACAAAATGATATCTATGAGCTGTATACCAGTGTAATCAAACAAAGGGATCAACTGGTGAAGAATGAATCATTCCAGGCAACATTTTGTAATGTGGTACATCAGGACAACCGGACACTTTTGAGATTGACATCAAAATCGTATGTAAGTACCAACATTTTATAAGCCCTCTGACTACGCACTATTCGCCCTCTAACTATTCACGTTCATCGTATACATGTAATTCTAAAGAACTTCACTTATACAAAGAGTTATAGAGTTACATGTTATACATATTCCTTAGTTTTCCAGCAGTAAAACCACTACACACATTTATCCTCTCCATAATAACCTGCCATGCAAATGTTAATTAATTACCCAGAAAGGCACCACTCTTTTATTCTCAGAATGTCATGGTACACAATCAAAGACAGGGCAAACTCAAGCCTACCTGCAAGAAAAAGCATATAATAAGTGCCACATACCAATAATCAAATGTAAAATTGTTTGTATTGTTCATCCACACATTAACTAATTAATAACACAGTTATTTGTGCGCCATAATTACTATAACATACTATTTTCAATATTATTTGCACACTTACATTTACAGATATTTGAGTCGCCTGATTTCAACCCTGACGAACAAGCATTGCATCGATACTACAATGCCCCACAAATGGACATTCAACAAGCACTGCTTACATCCAAACCCAGAATGTCGATTTCTGGTATAGTAAGGGAGGTATGTTTATCTGCCACCAAAAATATATATCTGTATATCACACTCGAAAGATTATCACAATTTTCCCATACTTGGGAACCAGACTTGGATATGCTCTTTTTCACTTTTCAAAAGGTACTGCATTATGTGTACAATAATAGTTAACTATAAACACTGCAAAACTACATTGTTATAATATTGTCTTATGATTCCAAAACTGATTCCAGGTTTCACCCCTAAAGTGCACCCCAAAATCGAAACGTAGAGAACTCGAACTGGAAGATCTGCAGGACAAGAAGAGAGTAAAAATTAACTTGTGGTACAGCCACGCAGATGAAGACATCCCTCCAACCAACACTCCTGTTCTCGTGAAGAACCTCGAAAAACGCCAATTCAGAGGAACAGATACCTTCAATGCCACAAAACACACAGCCATAGAGGTGTGTATACAATCCAGTTACTAAAAACACTTGCATGTATTCAAATAAATACAAACACTCAAATGCTTCCACAATAAACAAATGTGTATAATTACTATGTGTACAGACAATTCCAATTCCACTACTTCCAATCATTTCTACAATAACACATTGGAATACGATTTGAGCACAAAAATCACTGTGCTGAGGTAAAGCTATAGTGTCTCCACAAGATACATAGGCTTGTTACTTGAGTTGGTACATGCCAACTGAAAGTCTATTTGGCAAGGCTGTGTTACTCAAGTGAACATCAGTCATACCTCCAATGATCATTTCATGAGTTACGATTGTTTTGGGTTTCATAATTTCTCTCACACTTACACCATCATTGCATACTACAGGTATGCACTCTGCCTGAGAACATTCAACAGCACCACTGTTACATGTATTTTTACACACTAATGGAAGGAATTTCTTACATAGCACTACAATAAAGCTCACTATCAGTCACACAGTGACCATGTTGCCCATCTTGCATCCATAATAAGCTGCTCCTATCTTCACATCATTCTATTCTCCATATCTAAAAATGCATTACTGCTCTGAAATAATTCAACATGATACAATGCTCCCATTTCAAATTACCGTTTTTACCTTGTCATTATTCACAATATTGCAATTGTATATAATTCCATGTTAAAACATTTCTGCAACATACCATGCACTATTGTTAAATTACTACTTGCTATTTGCACACATAGTTACAATGATTACAAGTATGCATACATAACAACTAAACCACTTCAATTCATATCTTGAATTCCTCATGCATGCTCAATCCTAACTACAACTACTTACTAAATACCATTAAGTTTGCATTAACAAAATTAACATTACTAACATATATAAGAGATGATAACCACCACACAATTTTTCATTGTCTTAATAACATATCACATTTTCATTTTTCTTTTGTAACAGGTAAAAGAAACTACAACAACTGCTACAATTGTTGTGACAGATTTCTGCGAAGATACTCCATAAGTCCAAACATATCACTTCATTTCTAGTATTCATACTGCAAACGCCTCCTCACAACAACTACTACATCAAAGAAAGAAAACACATAAATCTTGTTCTCTAAAAATCCACAACTGTAACCCTATCTGACTCAACCCATCAAAATACATCGCTCAATTCTCACAGATTTTGGCGGAATTGCTATATTAGGCCTCTCAGGCAAACAACTGTTACTGGAGTTTAATGAACTTCAGCCAAAAACATTATTGGGCATTCAATTCATTCTGTCATGCCAACAGTACTGATTGTCATATCTTAAAAGCACCTGTAATTAGTCCATCAACTGTTATATACGCAATCACATCACCACTGGAGTTTGCAGGAAACAATGTATACGCACACTGACTGTTGACTTTTGATAGACTAAGTGCAACACTTGCCACAAAAGCTGCACAGTTTAATACAGTTAAACTAAACTACTATGTTGCCTTCTTAACATACTATGAACCTTTACAAACAGTTACATGCATTTCCCCTGCCATGCCTTTAAATACATACTAATTCAAACTTATCACATAACATTTAAACCAACCATGTTGACTTACCAAACTTGATTAACAAACAAAATTAACAAAAACTACTAATTGCACAACTTTTATTTATCACATACAATCCAAAACCAAAAATAAAACCTGTTTCCAGTAACACCATAATAGATTTTGTCTTTGTGAGTGTGTAAGGTTCTGCGAAAAAATGAACTACAATTTAAGTAGTCTCCTTTGGTAACACACATGCCTTCACAAACAAAACCCCACATGGTGTTACTGCACTGTATTGTTCAGTACTGTCAACATGCACAGCCTCAACCTTTTCTAGTCCAAACGCAACCATATCCTAATACACACAATCACAATCACTAACTTTATATCATCAAGGCTTAATATATAGTGCCTTAAAACCAAATACTTCATGCATTTTAAATGCAATGACAGTTTGTACTACAATATATACAGGTTTGCATACAACAAATGCTTTCAAACCAAACTACAAATTCTCCTGCAATACATCCATTCATTTCTCCAAATATCAATTACTTTCTACGAATTACAAAAGCACATTTTTCATTTGTTACTGTATTCAACACCACATTTTCTAAAACTCCACACACTAATACATCATTATTTTCATAATCAACTCCATATTTTGTTTTACTCATTCTTTGCAGAGGAATGTTCCGCATCATCACTGACGATGACAAACAGTATACAGTGCCCAAGAACCTGCTGCTGGACACCATCAACACAGAGCAATCAGACCTCGAGCAACATCTGCCAGTCGCACTGACAGCAACCTACCTTGAAGTGACACATCTCATGGAGAATCTTCGCCAAATGTATGAAGATATCCATAGCAACTTTTAGCAACCCTTGCAACCAATTGTAGCAATCAAACGCCATCTGCATTACAAACTATCCATCGTCTACCTTAAATATATCAAATAAATTAAAAGATTCAGAACTGTTAGATTTTTTTTTCTTTTTCCATATTATTCTATTCCACTTCCCAAGTTTGGCACACATACTACAGGCTGTACCAAAAAGAAGTGAACATTCACAAAGTACCACTACATTTCAAAGTAAAGTATTCTGTTGATAGGCTTTAATTCCTAGGTAAACCAATATCTTGTCTTGTCTTATCAAATTGTTCACATCTTTTTGATACACCCTGCATACAACTCCAAACAATAATTAATCCATACATTAATTAATTCTCTATTTAAGGTCTGAAGACAATGAGGAACAACAGTAAACAACCAACTACCATCAAGGTAACTACCAGCTCTATTTATTTCAAATACAACTTTACTCCGTCACGTACAGCTTGCGTACACAATGCATGACAATCCAAGCCAGTGCATATGTACACAAAGTAAAAAATTTCGCTAGCCATACACACACAATTTTCAACTTCCTTAACTGCCAATTTATCTTTTCAAATTACCAGCACCAACACATTCAGCCCAGACCATTTCACCACTCTATAATCCATCATTTTATGCCATAATCCTTTCATATTTATTTCTTTTCTCCTACAGACAACAACAGATGACACTACTGAACTTCACAGGCATAGCTGCATGACTTTCTGGTCTTCTGTTCAACTGCTGTTTATCAAAAACATAGTACATGTATAATGACAACAAACTAATCACAACAAAAAAGTTCATTATGAATCACTTTGCACCTGCTGCCATAAAATAACACCACAGTGTTATTATTTAGGACATCAAACCAAATAATTCCAGTTTTAAGAAAAACTACTGACTCCTTATATTTTGCAAGATGTCCAACAGTTAAAAATCCCAAAACGCTTACAAAGCCCTTCTGAACATTTCAGATATATGAAAGTATCAAAAGGTGATATCTCATAAATATGATAAAACCTGCCGAAAACTTTATTAAATCATTTAAGAAAAATCTATTTTTGCCAATATTTCTCTTTATTTGTGAGTTGGGCGGAAACGTTTATAATCATAATGAAGTACAACTATTATGTTACTATATGGTCAGGGGTAATGCTTTTCCAGACGATTGCATATTGCATCAATATTTCATTAAAAAAAACTTGTCAAGTGGCACAAGTCTCCTCCAAGTTGAGGAGAGTTGAGCATATCCTTAAGGAGAGTTGAGTCACCCTGAGGAGAGTTGTGCCACTGTGAAAATGGTAAAAAGCAAAGCCATGTTTAGCTTGTTAATGGCCTGGTGCAAACTGTAGGTGTGAAAGTCATGCGTGGGTCAAGGGTCAAGAGTTTTCAAATGACATTTGCACACAGTAAAATATATATGGGATGGACGTTTATTATCCTAAAGATCTTTGACAAGTCCATGGCTGGTTAATGGGTAGCTTGGATTCTAGTGTGCAAGAAATTACAATAGTGAAGATCATACAGGTACCTTAACAATCCTTCTTTGAGAAATTATTATTCATGTAAACAAGCTTCATTTTTGGCTATAGCTAACACAGATATTTAGTGGCACTTTATTCCTGTAAACGATAGCTAAACACAAATGGCCAATTAGCCATGAGAAAAGACAATAACAACTATCAATCTTCATACAACATAAGTGAAACTCTTCAAGCTCCTGCTGTCAGTAGCGCAGCTAGGAAGCATATTAGTAGACAACTATATTTTCCCTAATGCCAAATGTCTTTATGTGTGTCTATGGAATCATGTTTTCTGGGCGCTTTAAGTTCCTATGATTGAAGTTGAGATGATGTTTAGATGTAGCATACATTTTAGTAACAAAGAATACTGAAACATTTTTAAACTGTAAACGATAGACAACACATTATCCAAAAAAATTAGGCCTACTGTCTGTCAATGATGTAGGCAGGATATCAGGACGAAACCGCATAATAAACAACTGTCAACACTTGACTTGAGTCCAAACTTTTACACAATGCAAAAACAAAAGTAACAGTTTACCCCCCAATTAGAGGCTCCATTCATCGAGAATACAACGAAACTGAAACTGTGTGCGACGGGAAGTCCCGATAATGGCGGGTGTTGGCAATTTCTTTGCTATATCTTCCCGCAACCACAGTGCTTCATCCTCGGTATTCACAACAAACGTAGCCCGGTCATTCAGGCTCAACACCCGACGAAGAAAAACTCCTTCAAATTCATCACCATCAAAGGCATCAACTCTGGCAATGTAATGATTGCTTCTCGATTTCCCATGGACTTTGACTATGACAAAATCGCCTTCAATGATACTCTGATCTTCCTCTTCAGAATCATCAGAGTCATTAGAGTCTATCTCCATTGATTTTGCTTTGTGACTTTGTGAATAAAGATTTCTTTGCGGGGGGATGAACTTTCTTAGCTGGTTTCTTTGTCTTTCTGGCTTCATTTGCCGCTGCAATTTCATCTCTGACTGGTGTGTCAGTCAAAATTTTGGTGCTACCTTTCTTTCTGTTAAAAGCTTTTCTTTTCCGAGGCCCGGCCTTAGGGAGGGGTTGTATATGCCTGGGTGACACATATGTGGATGGAGGACCTGCGAAGTTGGTGCCATACACCTCCCTGTCGGCAGTGGGTGCATCCAGGTTCCTTGCTAGGCCTGATGTGGCTGCATCAGGGTTCCTTGCTGGGCCTGCTGTGGGTGCGTCGGGGTTCCTTGCCGGGCCTGCTGTGGGTGCGTCGGGGTTCCTTGCCGGGCCTGCTGTGGGTGCGTCGGGGTTCATTGCCGGGCCTGCTGTGGGTGCGTCGGGGTTCCTTGCCGGGCCTGCTGTGGGTGCATCCGGGTTCCTTGCTGAGCCTGCTGTGGGTGCGTCGAGGTTCCTTGCTGGGCCTGCTGTGGGTGCGTCGAGGTTCCTTGCTGTGCCTGCTGTGGGTGCATCGGGGTTCCTTGCTGGGCCTGCTTTGGGTGCATCGGTGTTCCTTGCTGGGCCTGCTGTGGCTGCATCGGGGTTCCTTGCTGGGCCGGCTGTGGGGGCATCGTGTTCTCTGTCTGTGACATTTGCTGGAGCGTAGTCGGCATCTGAGAATATGTCACTGTTGAAAGGCAGAATACCTGTGCTTTGAAAACCTGCCAGGATATTGCGTGGAACACACGCGGATATGTGGGCCTCAATCACAAGTGAAGGGACATCGTAGATGGAAACAGTTTTGCCAGGATTGGAACGCATCCATGCATCCATTGCACGTGTGTATGCTCTCTTGTACGGACTGTACACCGCTTTGTCTAAGGGTTGGAGCTTGTGGGACGTGTGTGGGGGAATTGTTAACAGAACAGCCCCACTTGCCTTTGCCTTGTCCACTGCTGCTAGAGATATGTGTGCCTCATGATTATCCATGATGAGCAAAACCTTTCGGTCTGGAGTGCAGCGTGTATGGTGCACGAAATGATTCAGGTACTGCACGAAAGTTTGTTCATTGATCCATCCTGACCTGGTGGCTGCTCCAATGGAACCTACAGGTTGCCCCGCGTATGAAGTGCTCGCGGTAGTTGACTCGTGGGAAGATAAACAATGGTGGAAGCACTGCACCACTAGCGCTGATGGCATTAACAACTGTCACTAATTCACCTCTTTCAGCTGAAGTGACGGAGCCTACTTGTTTGATCCCCCTCTCAGCGACAATACTCCCAGGCTTTTGAACTGTTGTTCATCCAGTTTCGTCAATATTGTATATGTCCTGTGCCTGGAAGTTGTGTTGATCCATGACCTTCGCTAGGTTGTCATAAAATTGACCTACGGTATGACGATTAAACGCGGTTGCTCTTGCTAATGAAGTAGCCTCTGGGCTACGAATGGCAAGGTTGTGGCGTTTTTTCAGTCCCAACCAGAAAGCTTCCCCTGCTTTTTTTTGTGGCACGCCAGTTTTCAGGGACTTCAATTCCGTTTCCCAAGGCAAATTCATAGGCTAAGCAGCGACACTTCTCTTTCGATAGCCCATGGTAACTTGCTGCCAAATCTTTGATGTGCTGTGCTAACTCGTTTTCCATCTCTGGACGAAATATCATGTTCCGGAGTTTACAGTTCTTGTATCCACTTACTCCCTGAGGATCTTCTCTCTGCTTGTCTATGTATCGCTTCAGAGTCATACGATCAACGTCGAATGTTCGTGCGGCATTTCGCACACTGTTCCCCTCTTGGACCGCTTGTGCTGCGCGTTGAAGCGATACTGCATCACTCCCACGTTGTGTTTTCCTCTTGTATTCCTGCGGCATTGTGGTCTAGAAATATCAATCATAAGCAATCATTAGTTTAATTGGAACCAGGAGAGTTGAGCCACCCACCAGAGGAGAGTTGAGCCATGGATCAAATCTCCTCATGGTCAGTGGCTCAACTCTCCTTAGGTCGGCCATTTTGACATGTGACTTAATTGCCAATATAACGGTTGGATTAAATTCAATCAAAATCGCCATAATAAAACTACAATGTATAGGCTATATATTGCAAACATTGCTATGAAAGTAGTTGCTAACATGTGAGTAATTGAAAGGGTCTTACCTGTAACTCAAAAGTCTGCTTTTTAGTGCAATTTAGCGTTTTTTGTTCACCTCGTCTCTATGGAGCTGCTATGCATCTGCCTGCTTTAACTAAAAGGAAAGTTATGTTTCACACTACCAACAGAGGGCGTTTGGGCTTTATCACTCTAGTGCAAGTGTGAATTTTAGGGGGTGGCTCAACTCTCCTTGTGGCTCAACTCTCCTGGATCTCCCCTACATGCCCCCATAAAACAGACCACAGTATTATTATTTAAGCCATCAAACCAAATTATTTCAGTTCAAACTTCAACTACCCACTTCTCACATTTTGCAACACAAAATTTCTACCATTAAAACATCCCACAACACTTACAAAACCCCTTTGTACACATTCCACATTTATGGCAACAGGTGTAATTAAAAGTATCAAAAGGTCAACAATATTGGATTGAATCTCTTAATCTTATGTTAACTTTATTAAATCAATGTACATGATTTACCAATAAACATATAACATCTTCTCCCACAAACACAAACACAGTTTTAAAAGAGGTTTTGCACAGACAGATTCTTACTACAATAGGCAAGTCGCCAAATAAAGGTGAATTTATATAAAAACTACTTCCAAACTTTTAGATTACAAATGTGCAAACCACCCCCCCCCCAATATCAACGTGTTTGCTTTGTTGGACTAGATCTTATTTAAATATTACAAAAACTGCACACTAATTCGTTAAATCATTTACAGAAAACATGATTATTATTCATTTTGCACCTGCTATCATAAAACAAGACCACAGTAGAATTATTTAGGACATCAAACCAACTCATTTAAATTTCAACTAAAACTACACATTCCTTACATTTTGCAACTCAACATATCACAACCAAAAACGCCAACCAAGCCTTTTCTACGCATTCCACATTTTATATTAACAGGTGTAATTGAAAGTATGAAAAAGTTATCACTTGCATTAAATCTCTTAATCGTTTCTGAACTATGTTAAATCTGTTATGGTTCTACAGATTATAGACATCACAAATTACAACCCTAATTAGCATTACAATAATTAAACCCAATTAACACACACTTGCACATGATTCTCAACAAATATATCAGATCTTCTTCCTCAAAACACAAACATAGT